GAAGGCGACGAGTCTTTCAAATTGTTTATTAGCTACGAATAAAAGTGTTATCTTGCCATCTGCGATTGTTATGATGAAAATCTTCGAAAGGGACATTCATCAAAGAAAAGACTCTTCTTGACAGCTGCTCACAGATTAACTGCGTGTCTAATCATTTTGCAAAACAATTAGGGATTAAAAAAAACAAGGGTTTTCGCTCCGATTTCAGGATTAAATGGAACTGATATTACTTTAAATTATAAATTGAGGACTTCAATTGCCAATAGGAAAAAACATTCTCTAGAGAACTTGATTTTTTTATTGTTCCCAAAATTACAGAAATGACTCCCCTTACCCCCATACCTATTGAAAATATTGACATCCCCAGGGATATTTCCTTAGCTGATTACAGATTTAAAACACTCGGGAAAATCGATTTATTACTGGGTGCAGAATGTTTCTTTGACTTATTAAAATCGGGTCAAGTTCGCAGCGCGACAAAAGACTTATTGTTCCAGGAAACGGTTTTTGGATTCGTAGTTAGTGGTATTGTGCATAATTCACCACTTGAATCACAATACTGTGGTCTTCTTACGCAAAATGAAAAAATTGAAGAAACATTGCAAAAATTTTGGGAGGTAGAAAATATTAATTTTCCGGATTCAGCACTTAGTCCTGAAGAGAAATATTGCGAAAAACATTTTAATGAAACTCATTATCGAACCTCGGAAGGTCAGTACGTCGTATGCATGCCCATGAAGGACTCTGAATTGTTGGGCGAGTCTAGAAATTTAGCAGAGAAAAGACTTAATCAGGTTTGGGAACGATTGGGTCGGGACTCGAATTTACAACGATTGTATTCTGAATTCATGCAAGAATACAAGGATTTAAAACATATGGAACTAGCTGAGGGATCTGAATCCATAACTGATTCGTACTACCTGCCTCACCATGGGGTTTACAGACCAGACAAAAGTAGTACACGTTTAAGAGTGGTTTTTAACGCCTCAACTGCCACGACATCGGGATTGTCATTAAACGATATTTTGTTGAAGGGAAGAATTCCACAGCAGGAATTATTTTCTATAATGGTTAGATTTAGAAAACATCGCTACGCCTTCACAGCAGATGTACAAAAAATGTATCGACAGATTCTAGTCCATCCTCCACAAAGAGACTTGCTCAGAATTCTATGGAAGGACAGTGTTGATGCACCAGTGCAAACTTATAAGCTCAACACAGTAACGTATGGGACGTCAAACGCTCCCTATCTAGCAACTCGAGCTCTTAAACAGTTAGCTATAGATGAAAGCCAAAACTTACCTCTAGCATCGTCCGTCGCTCTTACTGACTTCTATGTCGACGACATACTTTCCGGAGAATCATCACTCGAAAAGGCTAGAATTCTACAATCCCAATTAATAGATTTGTTGAAATTAGGTAAAATGGAATTGCATAAATGGCGTGCAAATCATCCAGATCTGCTTGTGTCTGAAAATAAGGTTACCGCTCATTCAGAATACACTTTTGAAGAGCAACAAGAATCTTCATCGTCCGTAAAAACTCTTGGTGTCCTATGGAATCCTCAGACTGACTGTTTTTTGTTTGCAATGACCATTCCTCACTCTAACAGTTATAGTAAACGAGATGTTCTGTCACTAATTTCGAAAATGTTCGATCCACTTGGTTTAATTGGGCCAGTGGTCACAAAGGCCAAAATATTCATGCAAAGGCTCTGGCTTGCTAAACTCGATTGGAATGACACATTGCCAGATTCTATGGCCAAGGAGTGGATTAATTTCGTATCCACGCTCTCTGAACTAAGTAATCTTAAGATTCCTAGATTTGTATTCCAGGAAAATCACATAGTGCTCCATGGATTTGCAGATGCGTCATCTTCGGCATACGGAGCTGCAATCTATGTTCAAGCTTTGCCAGTTTCGGGATTGCCAACCGTTCGACTTTTGTGTAGCAAGTCACGAGTTGCACCTATAAAAACCTTATCAATTCCTAGATTGGAACTGTCAGGTTGCCTTCTATTATCCAGATTGATGGATAAAGTGATATCTTCGTTGAATGTTAAAGTAGAAAAAGTAATTCTTTGGTCTGATTCTACGATTTCTCTTGCTTGGATTAGAAAATCACCACACTTACTAAAAACTTTCGTGAGTAACAGAGTCGCTTTAATACAAGAGCTTACGGGGTCATACCAATGGAAATATGTGCCATCTGAATGTAACCCAGCTGATGTCATATCGCGTGGACTGGATGCCAATGACATTCTTACGTGTGATATCTGGTGGAATGGACCAGACCTTCTCCGTGAGGACATGCATTATCCAGAACAACCTCTTGAGCCTACCACTGATAATGACTATGTCAAGGAACTGAAATGTTTATCAGACTCTAATTTTGCAATATTAGAAAATAATTCTAGTTTAACCTCTCTCTTAAATCGAACAAATAATTATATGAAATTAATCAAAATTTGTAGTTTTATTTTTAGGTTCTTCAGAATCATTAAGAATAAGGAAAGGGTTTCAGGGCCTATATCCTTAGAGGAACGGAAAGGGGCCGAGTTAACATTGATTCGGGAAGTGCAGAAAGGTGAGTTTTATTCTGATATTGAGTCACTTAAGAGGGATAGCCAAGTACCTCGTAGGAGCAAGCTTAAATCGTTAAATCCATTCATCGATAATGATGGAATCTTACGCGTCGGTAGCAGACTTGCGCAATCTCAGGTAAGTTATGATTGTAAATATCCAATCATTTTGCCAGCTAGACATAGGTTGACTTATTTGATCATGTACTATTATCATCTGAAATATTTGCATCTTGGACCAGAAGCTCTATTGAGTACTGTTAGACAAAAGGTTTTGGCCCATCAGCGGCAGGAATCTTGCTAGAAAAATAGTACATGAATGCGTACAGTGTTTCAAACACAGACCTGTACCAATAGATCAGATAATGGGTGATCTGCCTGCTGAACGAGTGTCAGTTGAATCAACCTTTAACAAATGTGGACTCGATTTTTGTGGTCCGTTTCTTATAAAGGCAAAAAATCAAAGAAAAGGAGTTTTTCAAAAAATGTATGTTGCAGTATTTGTGTGCCTTGCTACAAAAGCAATTCACTTAGAAATTGTCTCAGACTTATCTTCGGAAGCATTAATTGCTACCCTAAAGAGATTTTTCGCTAGGAGAGGGAAAAGCTCAACCATATTTAGCGATAACGCTACAAACTTTCGTGGAGCTCGAAATGAATTAAGCAAGCTGTTTAAATTAGCCAAAGTACCAGAACAAGGATTATCCGACTATTTGTTGTCAGAGGAGATTGAGTGGAAATTTATACCCCCTAGAGCTCCACATTTTGGTGGGCTTTGGGAGGCGGGCGTTAAATCGTTCAAAACGCATTTAAAAAAAAACGGTTGGGAATTCAAAATTAACTATGGAAGAATTTTTAACTTTAGTAACACAAATAGAGGGAATATTAAACTCCAGACCAATTTCTCCTCTCTCTTCAGATGCAAGGGATTTTAATGCGTTAACGCCTGGACATTTTTTAATTGGCCGTTCTATAACAGCCCCTGTAGAACCAGAAATTATAAATAAGTCTGACAACAGATTGTCTAGATGGGAAAGAGTCACCAAAATGACTCAAAATATTTGGAAAAGGTGGCAACGGGATTATTTATCGCAACTTCATGAGCGAACGAAATGGCAGTTTAAAAAAGATAACGTTAAATCAGGAACTATGGTGCTCGTGAAGGAAGACAATTTGCCTATTTGTCACTGGATTTTAGGCCGAGTTGAAGAAGTTATACCCGGATTGGATAAAAGAGTTAGAGTAGTTAGTGTACGCACGGCAAAGGGTCTCTTTAAAAGGCCTGTCACAAAATTAAGTATTTTGCCCATACCAGACAACTATCAGATATAAAATTTTTATATTATGAATGGACATTATTACATTATTCATTTAGTGCAAGTATAATATTTGTATGTGTATAATTTGTATGTATTTGTATTGCAAGTATAATATTTTTATTTTCTTATTATATGCTACTGAATTTAATTGTAATTGAAATAATTAGTGTTAAATTGCATTTCATGTGTATTTCATATGTATGTCTAAATTTGAATTTGATTGTAAAACTTTTATGGCATTATTGAAACTTGTTTCAATGGGGGCCGGAATGTTCGGTTTAATATAGCGCCCTCTAGGATCAGCGCCCTCTTGTGAGAGGAGCCAAATTTAGTTGAGTTGGTTGTTGAAGAAGGTACGCAGCGGACCTATGGTGCGTTCGTTCGTTCCACTTTGTCTGTGCTAATGGAGCACCTTAACTTGTAACCTTGTACATTATGTAAATAATTAAATATTTGTGTGGCCTAACTTAGTTAGTTTTATTTTGGAACCAGCGCCATTATCTCTCGTAACTCATCGCATTTTATATCAAACATAGCCCTCGCGTACTAAGTCATTATCAAATAAACGAAGCCAAGCCAAATATTAAATACCTCGGCAACAACAGTTTGAGTGATTATGATCGTAGACGAATAATGGGACGACGCCTCGTAGCAGGGCAAAAGTATTGCTGAAGTTACTCGTAACAGAGAAAAAGTATTACTGAAGTTACTCGTAACAAGGGAAAAAATACTACGGAAATTATTCATAACAGGGAAAAAGTATTACAGAAGTTACTCGTAACAAGGAAAAAATATTAACGGAAATTATTCATAACAGGAAAAAAGTATTACCGAAGTCACTCGTAATAAGGAAGAAATATTACGGAACTTATTCATACAGGGAAAATGTATTACTGAAGTTACTCGTAACAAGGAAAAAATATTACGGAAATTATTCATAACAGAGAAAAAGTATTACTGAAGTTATTAGTAACAGGCAAAAGTATTATTGAATGCTGTGGGAACCTTAAAAAACGTCATCTTGCGACTGAAAGAAGTCACTCAACTCAGAAGAACTCATCTGTGCATTCTTGTAGTAGAGAAATGAGCACAACAGCAGGAGATTTCCACCATGTTATCGCTTTAAAGAGAAGAGAGGAAAATACGAGCGTTATACGGAATGATTTTATGCAAAGCTAAATATTACAAGTTAAACTTGCCAAATTTTAGGCATGTTCAAAGTAGTTCCCTCCAACATCAAAGCACTTTTGCGAGCGAATTTTTCAAAGATGAAATTCTTCAAGCCATCCATTTCCTGGAATCGATACAAAATATGCTTTTACAGCTTCGTCAATCTCGTCCTCGGAATGAAAACATCTGCAACGATCATTTCGTTTTAGAATAAAAGCTAACCAAACGTCGGACATAGCAAATGGGGCATGGATGTTCTACCATTTAAATGTGTATTTGTTTCAGAAATTTGACTACTATTCTTGCTGAAGAAATTAATGCATTATTTGAGGAAACATGAGTCTCCTAATATTCGTTTCTTGAAGAATTTCTGTAATATACTTAGTAATGATGTAACTGTCTTCTATTCCTCAAACTTCATAACTTTGATGAGTCCTTTCACATCTGAAGAACACGGCATACATTAAAGTTTTTTACTCCTCATTGTCTTTCACCATTAATGGTTTGGAGTCATCTTTAAGGACTTAAACTTCAATTTCCTGATGTACTAGAACTTAAAAAAACAGCAAGTTTCCTCACCAGTTATGATTTTAGATATGTCCGTGTCCATCATCATTAAGTAATTTTAGGATTTCTTTACTGATTCTGACACGCAACGTTTTTTGGTGTTCTGTCAAGGTATCAAAGACCTAACAATATACTAATTTTTACTTCCTTTTACGAAGTAAACAAGTATTGTAATCGCGAAGTTATCAGATTTCGATGGAAATGTACATTTTGACCGTTCCAGAAACCACTTTAACTATTTTTTGCGTGATGTCTGTTCGTTTGGACAGAATAGAGCACTCTTTATTCCAAAACGGATTTTGAAATAAATTGAATGTAGGTCTTTTGGTGACGCCTGTGCATATGTACATATCTCGCATAAGATCTCAAAAATGACTACCCATAGAACTCTAAAATTTCGTATATGGGAATGCACAACTCCCTTTTTCATTGCAATCGGTAGTACCAAGCATATACAGTCAAAAGTCGTTAATTCGGACACCCATAATGTGGAATAATCTATAATCCGGACCTCTAAAAAACTAAAAACTTTCTGCGCATGCACTGCGTTGACACATGCGCATAGACGTTTACGCGTGCGCGTAAGACCTTTACGACTGCGCATATGCGTGTGCGCAAGCGCAAATACGTTTTCGCGTGCACGTTTTATGTATAACGGACGGTATAAGCTATCTATTTCAGTTAATGTTGATGATTGCGTTGTTACTTAATCTTCAAATTGGATCCGGCTTATTATTTTTTGCAGACTGTAAGAGCAATTTTATAAAAGTAAACTTGAACTTGCGATTATGTCAAATAGAATTTCCGATGCTGGAGCTACCAAAGGATCTACAAAACGAAAGTATGTTTCGATGTCCATCAAACAAAAAGTGGAATTGCTGCAAAAAATGGATAAAGACACGAAGAATGTGACAGAGAGGTTAGTGAAAACGAAAAAATTTCGATTGACAAGTTAGTCGGTATTCTCGGCACAGCAATTACGGGACTTAGTAACTGAACAGCGGAACTTTGTAACTGAACAAGAAATTATGTCTGTTTATAGAATTAAAGAGAAAGTATTATCACATAAAACGAAGCCACTTAACAACTTACATTGAAAGAAATGTTTAATAAAGTAAACAAATAAATATTAAGCTTTTTTTTTTTTTTGTAAATTTTGATACCCTTTAGGTTCTTTATTTCATAAATTATGGTTTCATATTTTTAATTTTAGAATTTCTGCATGCCATCTTACGAGATTTAAAATGATGATCTATAATCCGGAATCGCCGAAGTCCCGACGAGTCCGGATTAACGACTTTTGACTGTATATATATAATGATTCCAAATGTGTGGATGAAGGCATTGGAACTTGAACAGCTTATGATACTGCATACGTGGCTGAGAAGACCCTAGTGGCTAAGAATAATTCGAAGAAATACGGATGCAAGTGCAACAAAAATGCGTATAATTTAATTAGGAATACAAAGAAGTCAACTGGTGACCACATCAGATTTTTTCATATGCAGGTCTTCGTGAGTACTGTTATGCATAGCTGTGAACCCAATTGTAACTTCTGTCTGTATCATTTGGTCGCCAATATAGTGGTTGTTGTGCTGATGAGGAAAGGTTCGAATACTGGCTAAAGCACGGATATGTGTGAGCATATTGTGTCTATGCAGTATGGGAGCACTTAAAATACTGTGGAAAAGAAAGTTTTCACAAGTGGTTTAATGGTAGAGGAAGAGGGGTGATCCTCTATCAAAATTTGGTGCGGCCGCACATTTAATGCAGTGGGAATAAACCTGTGCGACCAAGGTAATATTCTTTTTGTCACACGTATTTCTACCTGTACCTGTATCATGTGGTACATACAGTGATTAACACTGATCAAAATTTTTTGTTTACCAATACATTTTCTGGGACGAGAGCTGACAGAGAGGTCTTCTTGCGTTTCCAGAATTTAGACACCACAAAATTCTAAAAGCATTTGAACATAGTGGCACAGTTCATGAAATGTAAAGCATTTTGGCAAGCTGTCCAGATATTCAATAATTATCCCCAAAATGTTTACCAATAGGTATTTTTTAACCCAAAAATCTCATACCTATTTTTCTCATACTTATTCTTTATAAGCCTCTTTCAAAATATATTTATACTCCTTTCTTAATAGATTAGCCTTTGTAGAATTTCTAATAATTTTTGCAGTCTTACTATCCATGAATATTACCTGTTTGTATGATGACTATCCATGAATATTACCTGATTGTAGGATAGCTATTTACAAATATTACCTGACTGTAGAATGACTATCCATGAATATTACCTGTTTGTATGATGCCCATACAATTTTAACACCATATATAATGAATAATGATTATGTGTACGTATAGTTTCTCAGTGGAAAATTTCGATTTAAGAAAGTAAAAAATTTGAAATTCCAGCTATATCTGGACCAATAACTAACTGCCCCTGAATAAAGGGAAGCATTTCATGATCATGCCCTGTCAAGAAGGTTTCAGCACCTTTACTCATCAGTCATAGCTGGATTAGTTGATTTAGTCTGATTTATTTTGATTATGGCACATTATGTGAAGATTATCTGCTTAAGAGAAGGGATTGATTTAGTGGAGGAATGTCTAAGTTACACTGATTTGTATCATCATTACCTGTGAGAAAAACCACAATAACTCCCAGAAAGTACACTTATTTACTAGGATATACGCCAAACTGTGAGCATTCGGTGCCATTTCAAAATAGCAATGCCATGTGAAGATCTGTGAAGGAGAATGCTCAATTATTCAAGAAGCAACTGAGCAATTATTTCACTAAATCTTTTGTACATGAGGCTTGCAGCTTGCGGTAAATATTTTAGTCAAGAGGTAGTATTTTTTGTTTTACAACTTTTTTTGCTCAACAAATGAAATATGCTTATTCAAAACAACAAACACAAATATCTTCAATGTGTTCAGTAAAAATTACGTTAAGTTACATTAAAATTCTTTCGAAACCAAATTTTTCCTTTTAATTCCCAGAATTAACAAATATAATATAATAAAATAAAATAAATCAGGAAGAAAAAGAGATAGTCATTTTTATTGCAGCATTCTTAGATATATCAAACATTCATTTTCTTTATAAAACTGGAAATTTACAGTAGAAAAGTTTCACAAAGAAGAAGGTAAACAATGATATCTGTGCATATCATTCTTTTACACATAATGTTGCTTAAAAAACATAAGAAGAATTTAAAATAATAAAGCAAAATAATTTATTAAATAAAATCACTAAAACAAAAATGCAAGTGAAAAGTACAATCCAGTTGCAGAATTCACTTCTAACAAAATACAAAAGAAAAATTCTTTTCAGAATTTTTAATTATTTTCCTTTGGATAACAAATATATAAATTAAATAGGAATCTCAAATTAATATGTAAAATTTTGCTAGTAAAGTATATTTTTACTAAAATTTAATAAAACAGCAACAAACACACAAAAAACACAATTTTTTAAATATATACAACCATCATAATTTTAAGCAACTTGTCTTTTTAAATTTTCCAACATTTAAAAGAAAAAAAGAGTCAAGTGTTAAATTTTTTTTGAATAATATTACATTTTTAAGCTAAATGATAAAATTTCTGTAACTGATAACATGAATATATTCTTCTGTTGAAGCTTTATTTATTGCTACTTTCTCAAATCTCAGTTTTGTTTTTATGCAAAATTTAACCAACCTTAATTCTAGTAGAAGGAAGATAACCAACAGAAGACAATCAATGAATAAAAATTTATACAATCACTGATTTTTTCTCAACCAAATATAAAAGTATTTACTATACAAATGATATAAGTATAATTTCGTAACAAAAATTAAACAAAAGTAAGTAGATAGGACTGAAATATATAAATAGCAACATCAATAAAATGTAAAATGCTAGTTGCCAAGGAAAAATGAAGAGCACACATATATTTATTTGTGTATAAATTTGTGAAGAATGAACAGCAAATGTAAAGTCTGCACTCAATGAATTCAACCAATTAATTCATCCATTTCACAATAACATAACCAAAGAAAATGCTTTTTTATGCATATGGTAGTAAAGCAAATATTCAGCCATTATCTTCTAACGGTATATTTTTATAGAATTCTTCGAATAACAAATAATAATGTGAAAGAAAATATAGCTTTACACTATTCAAAGGAATCCATGGTATTCCTTTTGGTACATCTACAACATATTTAAGTACTAGATAAATGTGTTTAAATCACATTTTTAAACCTTATATGGCTTACATTATAGTAAATTCCAACATATTGTAGTGAGTTTAAGGTATAAATTAATATGAGTTAATAAAACATTTAACTCTGAGGAGAAGAAAAATAACACAGATAAAAAGTATAAAGAGAGGCATCTGGCAACTATTGCCAAGGCACAATTGTTACATTCAGTTTAAAAAGTCACATGACACATTTACTTAACAATTAATTTTAGGAACAAACATATCGGCCCAACTAAATATTCCACAAAAAATTAAATTTTTTGTGAGTTACTCATTTAAAAGTTGAAGCATAAAATAAAGCATTAAGCTAGTACCAGCTAATTTGTCCAAGTCATTGTAGTTTTATAATTTTCATCAACTGTAGAAAATTAATTGCCTTGTGACCAAATGAAGATTGGCAGCTTTTGCCATTCTCACAAAAGTCTATAAGCTACCATTATTATTATTTTTTTGGGAAATTTGGCACATTATGGATCAACAAATGATATCATGATATAGCGAGTTCCATTTGTAACAGGAAGACCTTCATGGTAGTGAGTAAGGCGTCCAGGATGCATGAGAGACCACCCTAATCTTAAATCTGTCACACTGCAGTTGTAGCGAATGAAACGGCAACCACCTCCCTAAAATATAAGCAAAAATTTAGATAAATCTAAAAAGCAAAAGAATCGCATACAAAACAAATAATTTTCAACCTTGTTTTGGAATCTTCCTCCCCTTCATTTATAAATTTATTCAAGAATTATTCATATTGCTAATTTAACAGGAAATTCTTTCAAATAAAATAAAATAAAAACACTCAATTATGAATTACTTAAAGACACGCTTTTAGGAATAGTACATACAAACATGATGTAAATGAAAATAATTTAAACTTATTTTTGCTTAGTTCCTGCATACACATATAGAACTAAATTAAATATTTAGAAGTAAAGAAATGACACATTTTTAATGAAAAAATTCTTTAAAAGTAGTTAATCTTACATAGAAGCATTAAATTTGTTATTTCATATGTTTATGTCAAATAGCTAATTGCTCCATCACAAGAAGATCGATTTATGCCATCTAAAAATATTAATTCACTCATATTCACTCTCATAATTAAAATTTAACCCCTCTTCACAGTACAATCCTTTTTAGAAATGTATTAAAAATAATTTATGCTTTTTATTTACATCTCCTGGTTTGGGGCTCACTGTTAAGAAACAGACCAACAATAATGATGTGATCTAATGCTAAAAACATCTGACTTAATGAAAAGTTCTTCAACTAGCTCTAACGTTTTATGCTTTACTCTTAAATAAAACACAACAATTACTCATGAAATTCCAACTTTTAAACACATACTAAAAGCAGAACTGAATAATGAAACTTCAAATAAAAAACTTTAGCACATTTCATTCTGAAAATCCATATAAAAGCATGTTCTATAAAAATTGTCTTCAATAAATGCCAACTCTGAAATGTGAAAAAGCAAGAGCTTCCAGGAGGTTTTTGTCAGCTTGGCAAAACCATTTTAGAGAAGCTCTAAATCAATTTATTTTTAATGCACGATTCGTATTAAAGAACTATTATTATGCCTAATATTTCATTAGTTACACTAAATTTTATGTTCTTTGGCTAAGTTTTTAAATTATCTCACTGAGAAAATCTTGTGTGGGGATGGAAAGCTTTTATTTATCAAAGTACTTTTAAATATGATAAAAATAATAATGTATGACAAAATTAAATATAGGTTATTAACTGAATAAGCGCTGGTTGAATGTTCATGAAAATTTCAACAAATGCCCACATAGGATTAAGACAATTCAGATCAAATAAAATTTAATAAGAAAATTATTTTGCTAACAAAGATTGATTCTGAAAAGTAAGATAATCAATAAAAGACCTATTAAATCAAATTATAATCTGCACTGAAGATAATGTCATGTGAGATATATGTTAATGAATTAATGGATGCTCAAAATTTCATTTTTTAAAAGAAAGAAAACTGTAATTTACCTCATAATCAATTTTGGGGCGGTTTAAGGCAATATTAATAGTATACGTGGATGAATCATGATGTGGTCTCAAGGAAGGTTGCTCATCTGGGCGATACCTCACTACAAAATTCATCATGGCTTTAGGTGGCTAAAATAAAATATGTAATTAATGTAGACGACAAAATACTAAATTGAATATTCCTCATTTTGTTTTAAAATTTATACGAATAAATATATACCTTCTATATCCACAATGAAAATTTATGAAAATGTATTCATAAGGCAATGCAATATGTCACCAATGGGATGATAAATAATTTTTTTTGCCTTTACTGATACACTGCTGAATCTAAGCACTGATAAATAATTTCTTTGCTTTTTACCCATATACTGTTGAATCTAAACACTCCCTTGACAACTGCAATAATTTTAGGAGTAGACAGATGGTTTGAAGTCTTAGAAAAATTAAAGTTAGATGTAAATACTTTTTCTTTTTATCCTCAGATAAATTACCATCAGAAATTTTTTAAATAAGATGATTATTTATGTAATAGTTTTGAAACCAGAAAACTGGGCAAGGAGATTTTAAAATATAAAATAATCTTTTAATGATACTTTTAATTAAACTAAATATTAGATCAAGAAATCTGTTCTAGTAAATTTGTAAAGTCTGAATAAAAATTAAACAATTCAAATTTGATGTGGGATAATTTCTACCAAGTTTTCCTATTTCTTAATTTTACATTTGAAATTCAGCAAGGGAAAATTTATAATTCAACAACTTTTATTGCTTAAGACCTAATTTTCATAAAACATAACAGATAGTATGGCGAAAGAGAAAACAAAACAAGGAGAAGGAATAAAATAAAAATACAAAAGCTATTAAGAGACTAAGTAAGGATCACACCAAAATGAAAGGAAAAACTCAGATGTAAAAAAAAAAAAAAAAAAAAAAAAAAAATCAGATTTTAAATTACGTCCAAAGGGGCGTTTTTTTAATGTTTTGAGTGTTACCTTTATTTATTAAATATCATGTTCTTTGCACCTAAACCATAAAATTCAGTTCAAGAGCAATATTGCAAAATAATGTTAAATTAAGCATATCTTTAGAATTTCCGATATACACAGTCTCACGAGCTGGAGATAAAAGTATTTTTTTTCTATATAACGTTGCCATTTCTCGCTTTTAAAGCATTGAGTTTGTAAATCAAAAATTCGTTAAAGTTTTACAAAAATAAAATCTATAATAAAACAATTCCAAATTTGGGATTTCAGATGCCCAAATTCGCAGTAGGATTTCGTCATTCAAAATTCGATGGCTCTATGTACCATTGTTTTATCACAATGCGAGAAATAGACAATCATTTATGCAGATTTTTCATTATTTAATTTCTTCAAATATAATGCAGGACTAACATTTTGTGGCAACAGTTTGAAAAGTGAACCAACGTTTATGAGTCCGACGCAAAATCGCAAAACGAAAACAATAGTCCTTCAGGGACAAAGCCCCTTTGGACTAAAAAAAAAAAAAAAAATGAGAAGAAGGAGGGGAAAACTAAGCTAGACCAGGGGGATGCAAATGACCTGGAATTCAGAAATCAAATTGTACTGGAATATATACCTACCAGTGTTGAATTGGAAAGACCAGTGATCATGAGTAATCTGGCCCAAGAATTCAAATCATTGCAAACCAGCTAGCTGCATGAGCATTATTGCAATTTTTCACAAACATCCATGTAAAATGACTATGGGAACAGTTTCTGTTAGAAAACCTTCTACGAAGACATCCCTTTCCCTGTAATCAAATTCGCATGTTTTGCTGTAATCAAATGAACAAGTAAGCAGATTTTTTAAACTGGAAATGAGAACAGTAAGATTCTTGAAACTTTTTTTTCTGTCTTTTAACTTATACTACAATAATTTTAATCATGTCTGAGCTAAATCTCTCCAGAACATCCTACCTATTTCCATTTTCCATTCTTGAACTAAGTTTCAATACACACTCAACATATCTACAGTTATCCAAACAACCATCAGTCACTCTTGAGATAACAGATGGCACCAATGGCTTATTTCCTGTATGGGTTAAATTTCTTATCTTATCTTATCTAATCATTATATCTTATCTCGTTCATTTGCACTTTTGCAGCTGAGTATATGGTTCGGTAAAACCATCGAAACTACTCCTGTGAAAATTTGAAAATATAATGCTAATTTTTGTTGTTTGACTTCTGGATTAATATTTGTTCGGCATGTTACTGTATCTTAATTTAACATATCATTCAATATGACATTTTCCATTTTAGGAGAGCTTAAATTAATATTGAATGAGAAGTGCAAATTAACCCTGGAATACTATACTGGGGTACGTTGCAGTGTTTGTCCTAGAAAAAATGACAGAAAAACTACAGTAAAGTGTGAGAGATATAAAGAATTTGTTTGCAACACACATAAAATTAGTTTATGTCCAAAATGCAAATGAAACTCATAGTTGTTCAGAAAAATCCTATCAATGTAATAGTCAATATTGTATTTAAGTGTCACTATTAATGAAAGAGTGAGTATATATAATACAAACCTAATTAAAATGTTTTTTTACTCTATGGAGGTATACAGTTCCCCAGTGTAGTATTAGTGTTCTCAGCAACTACTGTATTACTCCAGGGTTAATACGATATGGTAAAATAATTTTTCATAACAGAAAAAGTAATGGTAGATTCAAATCAACAATTAGTACTCTGACATAAAAGAAAGAACTAATGTTATTAAGGTTAGCAAAAGAATAATGTTGCTATGTCCGCTATTATTATTAGCCATTATTATGTGAAACCAGTATTCCATCTCATGCAGGCTGCTGATTAAAATGGTTATAAAAATGCAAAGGAACAGGTGGATCGCTGCAAAATATTGATACTCTGAAAACAAAAATATAAGCACACCAAATTTTATTTTTACATGATAGAGAGGATTCCTGAAAAAATCATTGCAAAATTTATTGCCATAAAAAAGTAATGAAGCATGTAAGGAACCAAATTTTTCTATTTATTTCCATGACATAAAAGCATGTATCTGCCTATGGGAAGGGATGCATTTGTGGATGTATTTTTAAAGGAAGCCGGCTCATATTCATGTTACACATTCGGAAGAATCATACGAGCTTGCATGCCTTTGGGGCTCCAAATGAGTTGAATTACCTAAAATTTAGTCTTATCTAATCAATCACAGGAGGATCCAGACATATAAAGAAATTGAAGACTTGATGCAGGTGGGAGAAAATTCCATGCAAATAGCTAGCAAATCATATCAAAATGATAAATTAAATTTTTTATGAATTATTATTTTTTTAAATGTTATATTTTGCTTGGTTCCTCTGTTTATTTGGATCAAATCTTGACACCAGTTTTTCATTCTTCTGCCAACTAGACTTTCTTGAAAATTTTCATGTATCTGCTATGACTTTACACTATTCTAAAGAAATGTTTCAAAATTCAAAGCAAGTTTTTTTTACTATTTAGTACAAAAAAGCAGCTATGTAGGTATTTAGTAAAAATAAGCAGCTTTATCAGATTTTGGCAGCATTTTAAAAATTATTTAGTTTTTTATTATCATGTTGTTTGTAATAGTGAGGGATTTCAAGATCAAAAGATTTGATTTGATCCTTCTTTTTTAGCAGATATAAGTTTAAGTTATGGACATATAAATTGCAAAAGGAAACATTAAATTTCAGCAGGCATTTAAAGTGGCTGTGAATTATGCTAACAGATGCGAGGTCACAAGGGGGGAATGGAGGAATAATTTGGTTACATTTAGTTTCAATTCTTACTTACTTTTCACTTCAAAAAGTGGTATAAGCATGTGTTAAATACAGGACCAATGCTAGGCATTTTACCACCCGAGGCAATCTTCCCTTGATCCTCCCCCTCTCCCTTTTTCAAGAGAAAATGGTCTATTTAGGACAAAAAATGGAGGAATAATTTGGTTACATTTAGTTTCAATTCTTACTTACTTTTCACTTCAAAAAGTGGTATAAGCATGTGTTAAATACAGGACCAATGCTAGGCATTTTACCACCCAGTGCAATCTTCCCTTGATCCTCCCCCTCTCCCTTTTTCAGAGTATTGAGAAAATGATATTCATTTGTCTATTAGTAGGACAAAAAGTCAATACGGTTAACAGAAAACTCCTGAAATAACAACCAATTACCCACTATTCATTTGTATATTTTAACATGAGCACAGATTAAAAGCAATGAACAATGAAAAATTTGAATAGAATGGAAAGAGAACAATTTTTTTTTGGTCAAAAGCTTTTGCTAGTTAATATCTGAGCAGGAAAAAAACTGTATTAGTTTAGAGTGCAAATGCACCTCCTTGCATCCCTTGGCTTACGCTCATGACATTCTTATTTTTTATTCTTACGTTACATTACTTACACACATTGGCAGGGGAATTACTCTCAGCCTTTCTGCATAATTTTCTCTAAATAATGAGGCCAATTAAAACTGCCTCATTCAAAGGAAAATCACAATTCAAAATAACAAGTACATATGACCATAATGAAAAAAAATTGCCTGCACCAATATTCACATGCACATGCTCGACATTGAAAATGCAACACCGAGAAGGAGTGGTCAGAAATTTATGCAAATTTTAGAGTATACACATGTCACCGAGTTATGTAAATGGTGTGAAATGCACAGCTCTCCGACGCATGTGAAGTAAGATATAAAGGGAAGGAACGTGAAGAAGGGGCAATATTCGTGGCGTTATTTCTGCCAGAAAAAAGTTGGTTTTTGTCCTGGAAGAAAGGTGTAATGGGAGAGAATTCCAGGCCGCCATCAACGAAGGCACTTCCAGCATATAGACGGTTTTCCGAGGGGTATGGTGATCGGACTGAGAAGGGCGAGTTGGTCCTTACATCAAATCGCAGCTGATACCCACATGGATGCGAGCATGGTGCATCAGCTATGGCGAACATGGTTGGTACAAGGAAATTTGGGAAGAAGGAGGGGTGCAGGTGCAGCCAAAGTGACATCAGCCCGCATGGATCGACGCATCCGCCAATAAGCTGTGGCGGTCCCGCAAGTGACTTGTACCGCGATTCTGCAACATGTGCAAGATACCTGGATGTTACCCGTGTTGACCAGAACCATTTCCCGTGGATTGGTTGAACGTGTCCTGCACTGACGGCATCTGTTAAGGAAGACTGCCATTGACCCCACAGCATAGACGCCAACGTTTAGAATGGTGCCAGACTGGAGCGAGGTGGATGACAGAATGGTGAAACTTTGTGTCTGAGACGAGTTACACTTCTGTTTATCCAGTGACAGTCGCCGCATACGTGTGTGGCGTCGACGTGGAGACAGATCTAATCCGGCAGTAACTGTGGAACGCTCCACCACGCGACAACGTGGCATAATGATTTGGGGCACTATTGCCTACGATTCCAGGTCACCTCTAGTTTGTATTCAGAGCACTATGACGGCCCAACAATACTTGATAATGTACTGGTGGCAATCCCCTACCTTCAGGGGCTGCCTAATGCAATTTGTCAGCAGGATAACACCCGAACACACAGTGCTCGCATCTGTCAACATGCTCTGCAAGGTATACAGGTGCTTCCCTGGCCATCATACTCTTCTGACCTGTCACCAATCGAACATGTGTGAGATGTGATTGGATGTCGTTTGCAGACTCTGCCCCTGCCTCGTTCAGAAGACAAACTGTGGCAAATGGTTGAAAGGGAATGGAGAGTCATCCCTCAGGGCACCATCTGCACTCTTACTGACTCTATGTCTAGACGTGTTTCTTTGTGCATTGCTGTCCGCGGTGGTCCTACATCCTACTGAGTCGACGCCATTCTCGCTCTGTGTTCTGATTATCATTTTGAAATAAAGATCACTTATTGCTGCTTGCTGTCTCTGTCTTTTTTTCCAAATTTCATTGCTTTCTGACCACTCCTTCTTGGTGTTGCATTTTCAATGTCGAGCAGTGTACATTTAATTGATGTAAAACGAAAAACTATTTGATAATAGTTACATACATGGCTTGGAGCTTTAAAAGTGGTAACAGGTATATATACAGTGAATGAAACAAGAGTTTCGCATTAATATCATAAATTACTCCAATATCTAACCTACCTCCCAACAAATGAGTTTTCTTTCTCAATACTATACATATGTGTTAGGACAAGAACAGAGTTCTTTTTAATATGTTGTTGCTCAAACCACTTATAGAACTACCAGCATGACGAAGAAGCTTTCTTAGATTATATCACAAGGCTGGATAAGACACAGGCCAGATTGTAAAAGCCAAAATCAAATCTATCATTTGAGCAAGTGGCATTGTTACAGGTAGCCACAAAAATTAGAAATTCATCAGAACCTTGGCAGTGGAAACATCATGACAACTCTCTTGCATAATTGTGATGATGTTATACCAATACATATACATCAAAGACAGATTGTCAATGTGAAAATATTACAGTTCATTTTTAGAATTTAACCAGTGACAGCACTGTAAATGAAGTTTGACACTGTAGAATCCTTCCACCATTTTTCAAGACAATACACAAGGTGCACATAGCACAATTCTTGGATAAGAAATGCTCTACCCTTCACCATACTTTCCTGACATAATCCAGTGAATGAATGATTTGACTTCTATGATGAATTACTTCGTCTACATGTCACTGACTTTTGAACTGCTCCAGAGATCCTTCAGGCAGCAGATTTTTCTATTCAAATCATCAGCAGAAGAAATATTGCTACAAGTATACTACAGTTAACCACTAACTCTTGTATTACTGACCTTGAATCATACACAATATTTATTACTACAAAATATGCAGTAAAAATTTCACAGAGGATATGTAGTTCTGTTGCACATAAATAGTTGCCACTATTAAAGTTCCAATCTTTGTACATATTGATTACATATTAAACATACATGAATTATTTCTTTCCTAAAGTGATATATTTTGAGATAAAATATAAACTTGGAGATTGAAATTTTCAAGAAATTAATCTATATTCAAAATATGGTTGTAAAATAAAAAAAAATTGCATAAAGGAGTAAAACCAATGTAAAAATTTAATTATAAATAAGAAAACTTCCCCAACCCTGATTTCCAACTTTTATAATATCTTAAAATGTTATTCATATACAAAATGCACATAACTTTATTTGCTTTCCATAATGCTTCCTGAAAAGAAACAAAATTAAAATTTCAACAATTTTTCTTTCTCTCTTTCTTTAACACTTTTTTTTCCAGATGGGAGAAAATTGTACAAAAGTCTAATAGGTTTTAAGGATATTCAAAAACGAAATAAAATCCTTATTTGATTTATTTAAAAATTTTTATAATTAGCATTTATTTCCATTCATTAATTCCAAAAAAGCTTAAACTCTGTGGTCATACGTCATAGTTAAAATGCACCACGAAAAGATGAATAATCAATTATACATATCACAAAATTAAAAAAAAGATGCATATGTATGTCAAGATAGAAAATTTTACAACACAATTCCCAGTAATTAAAAAAAAAGGGGAAGTCCAATACCAAAAGAGCTCATAAGATACCACAGCCAGTAGAGAAGTCAACCATCACCACTCCAATTCACTGATTACCCCAGTCCTAAATTTTTAATTAATTTACTTACATCTTCATAGTTGACACTAAAAACAGTTTGTGCATAGTGCTTATTATATTCTCTCAGAAAGTCAATCCATTTTGAGCCAAGTTCCACTTGATCATGATGTTCCTACATAGCAGTATTATACTACAAATATATGATAACGACCAGAATTTTGCAAGCGAAGAAAAATCAGTTTGTAAATTATTTTTAAAATGCATACTTTCTCCTCCAAAAAACTTTAATACCAGATCAAATTCCTTAAAGCATGAAATCTATGAAGACCATACCAAAAGAACATAAAAAGAAGATATAAATTTAGAAAAATGAGGTAACCAAAAGATTAGACTAAACCATAAGGATTAGAGACAGTTCTTCTTTGTACCTTTGCATAAAAAATGGATGATAGCAGCATTCTTGTTATAAAAGTTTGATAAATAATAATTTTTATAAGAGATTTTTAATGTCAGACAATAATATCACTCTTTTAAAACTCTGTCGATATTTATCCAAATAGCAGAAATCTAACATTTTAAAAATTATGTATGACTATGATGCTAGACCATGTGCCTTAAGCACGCGTCTCAGAGGACAAAAAACAATAAAATACTGAAGAAATAATTGTAGTATGACCCCACCCTCCAGTTAAGATCTGCTTAAATAATATTTACATATTCATGTCACTAATGTGTCTGCCTTTATACACTGGTGTGCAAAAATTAAGGACGAAGTCGAAAAAATTAGCATATCAGCTGAACAAAGAGGCAGAGTGGACAGAAAGACCAATCAGGAGATTAAGTAAGGTGATGTACGGTAGCACATGCGCAGATATGCAGGTAGACGTAATGGGGATAGTGTCTGAGTAGTATAAAGCATGTTGTCGGTGTAAGATCAGTATTTCTGGCAAAGAGATTGCACGCCGTATAGCAGTTAAATTCACACCGAGTTGCTGCCTCAGCGAGAAATGGCGAATAATCAATCTGTTAGACGACATCTGGATGCTTTTACCCGAAGTCAAATTATTGGGAAGTTGGAGGAAGGGAGCAGTGTGACAAGTGTGGCTGCAGAGTTCGGAATTGCTCACAGCATCGTTTCACGACTTTGGGGACAATTTCAAACTACAGGAACATCTATCCGGGGGTTTAGTAGTGGTCGTCCACGAGGAACCACACCCGCAGATGACCGGTGTATTGCCTTACAGGCCAGAAGAAACAGGCGGCAGACAGCGGGAGAAATCGCTAGACACACGACACCGGCGACTGGACGACAGATATCGCGTTTTACCGTGGCCAGAAGACTGCACGGTGGTGGTCTGTTTGCAGGATGCCCTGTACGGTGTGTGCCTCTAACGCCTGCCCATCGGAGAAGGCGTTCTCTGTGGTGCCGGGAACACCAGAATTGGAGAGACAATGAATGGGGACGAGTACTCTTTACAGATGAGAGCAGATTCAGTCTGAGTAGCAATTCTTATCGCATACTCATCTGGAGAGAGCGGGGAAGCCGCAATCATCCCTCGAACATCATTGAAAGGGACAGGTATGGAGGTGGTGGTGTTCTCGTTTGGGGAGGCATCATGCTTGGTAGTCGTACAGACCTTCACATCTTCGACGCAGGTTCAGACAATGGGACCCGTTATTGTAACGAGATTCTTCTTCCATATGTGCGTCTTTTTAGAGGCGCTATGGGGCCGCAGTTCCTTTTCATGGACGACAATGCACCATGTCATCGCACAGTAGCTTCCGTACAGCTCTTAGAGAGTGAGGATATTGAACGTATGGATTGGCCGGCACGATCTCCGGATCTCAATCCCATCGAGCATGTATGGGATTTTCTAGGCAGCAGCTCGTACCTTACCACCAGTAACGATTCCAGAGCTTCGATTGGCGCTGCAAGACGAATGGGCAGCAATGCCTCAACAACTCATTGACACCCTCATTCTCAGCATGGGCAGACGCTGTGAAACCTGCCTAGCAGTCAGGAGAGATCATATCCCCTACTAAAGACCGGATGTTTCTTGCTGGACACCCATCAGAGGGATGTTTCGGCCTTCAGTCGCATTGCGCTCCATGCTACTTTTTCAATAAAGCTTCTTTTTATCCCTCTAATTTCTCTTTTAGTAAGTGTTGCTTACATTACTCATGTCCTTACGTATTGGGGATCTTACGGTATTAAATATGTTGATTTGGAAAGCTTTTGTACAAAATATTGAAAAAAAACCGTCTCGTCCTTAATTTTTGCACACCAGTGTAGTTACTGAATTAAATTCAGACCAAAAATATTATTACACTCTTTACAAATCCTTTATACTGCTTTTATTTTTGTAACCACAGATTCTAGACATATACTTCCAATCGCAAAAATATTTTAAATGGTGTAAATATTATTATACAGTCAAAAGTCATTAATTCGGACACCCATAATCGGACCTCAAAGCTACAAACTTTCTGCGCATGCGTCAATGCGCATAAGACCTTTACGGCTGCGAATTTGCGTGTGCGTGTGCGCAAAATACGTTTACAAATGCGCGTTTAATGTATAACGGATGGTATAAGCTAAGCAAAAATTATCTAATTATCTATTTCGGTTAATGTTGCAGATTGCGTTGTTCCTTAATCTTCGAATGAGATCTGGGTTATTATTTTTTGCAGATTGTTAGAGCAATTTTATAAAAGTAAGCTTGAACTTTTGATTGTCAAATAGAATTTCCGATTTATATTTACTAATATGTAATGGATCTACAAAGCGAAAGAATGTTTCGGAGTCCATTAAACAAAAAGTGGAATTGCTGCAAAAAATGGATAAAGGCATATCCTTTGTTTATCTAAACTTTAACGTTTGCTTATCTAAACTTTAACATTTGTTTATCTAAACTTTGTTTATCTTTAACGCTGTGGCGGGGTGCGCAATGAATTGGAAGTTGATCTGTCTGCACTACCTTTATCTTCAGGCCAGATGTTTTTATTTTATTTGGCTTATAATTGCTACTAAATGTAGTATTTCATTTCGACGTACTCCGTCTTTGATATGATTTAAATCAAATGCCTCGTCATTATAATTCTCTTCCGATAGCAAAGAAAGTGACAGAGGTTATTGAAAACGAAAAAATTTCGATTAACAAATTAGTCGGTATTCTTGACACAGCAATTATAGGACTTAAACAGCGGAACTTTGTAACTGAACAAGAAATTATGTCTGTTTATAGAATTAAAGAGAATGTATTATCACATAAAAAACGAAGCAACTTAAACAACTTACATTGAAAGAAATGTTTAATAAAGTAAACAAATAAATAATAAGCTTTTTTTTTTTAAATTTTGATACACTTTAGATCATAATTGTTCTTTATTTCGTAAATTACGGTTTCATATTTTTAATTTTATAATTTCTGCATGCCATTTTACCAGATTTAAACTGATGATCTATAATCCGGAAAAATCGATAATCCGGAATCGCCGAAGTCCCGACGAGTCCGGATTAATGACTTTTGACTGTATTTAAAAAATCAACTTCGTAAAAATTATGAAATTAACTGTTTTATATGGTCTAGTGATGCCTATAATTAGGTTTAGGAAAACTTTATATTCATATATAACGTTTAGGAAAACTATATATTCATTACAAAAAATAAAACACAAAAAGTTTGATTCCCATATGACAAAAATTGATAGATATATTTAATGTTTCATATCACATTCAGGGGCCATACACAAATTGAAGAGCAAAATTTTTGCAATTGTACATAACTAAAACAGAAATATCCATTCAGAAAAAGTTTCTGATGTTAATATATTAAGTGCAGTGCAATGCAGATTGTTGTGAAAAGTATTGATCAATATATATTTTTGCAAAAATGAGATCTTATTCACAGAATCTTATAAAATTCATAAATTCTATAAATTCTAGTAACTAATAGTTTTGTTACTACTTGTTGCATAAAACTAACTTTGTAACTATTAGTTACAAAGTAACTATTAGTTGCATAAGTTTAAAATGAAAAATATTTCTCATTGTATGTATTCTTTCTACAGATATTAGATTACGATAGATTATTACATAGGTAAAGATAAATCATGCTTCAAATAGTAGGAAGAGGATAGATATGTAGACATGCATTATTAATATAAAGGAAAAGAATGTTAAAAGAAAAGCCAGAATACTTATCAAACCACTAAAAAGTCTTAGATTTAATACACCCATATAAAATAAAACAATCCTAAAAATTTCTTAAGTTGAAACACAAAATACGTTAATACAGTCTGAATTTGATAAATTACTACAAGATTATACTCATGTAAAACCGTATTCACTATTTCACTATCACTAAAAACTTCAGATAAACCATCAAACTTAGCAAACATAGATTTGCACATAAGAAAGCAGATAATTTTCAGTTTTGAAAAAGTAATTAGTAATTATTTCAGATTAAAATGTAAAAATTACAGTTATGAGACTTTCGTACTTTTATACACTCAAACTAAGATGATCTGCAATACTTTTCTAATTCACAGAGAAAGAGCCAGATATAAAATGTGGCACAAAAAACTATACAAATGCTTTAAAGTACACCTCCTAATTAGAAAAAAAAAAAAAAAAAAAAAAAAATCATAACTGTAAGTGACATGAAGCACTTAAATATTATCAGTGACTTTAAAATCCACATGGAAAAATATGTTTGCAATGCACAGATTTTCAAGAAAACCGGTGTAATGGATTATTTTCACTAAATTTCTGTAATTACAACTCTGTTGTTTATTTCACACATTTTTGCAATAATTAAACTTTTTTAATAAATAGTTTTCATTAACTTCAAATAAACTCTTGCGACTATGTTACCTATTAAACATCATTTATTTAAAGCTTGATACAACTTGAATTTTCTGATGAAACTACAATTTTTAGTATGTACCCTCTCGATACGAGACAAAGGGATAAAATGTCTGCTGAGTGTCCTTTATTGTGAGGTACTGTACTTTTACAATTACATGACTGATTTTTCTAGAATATTCAGTAATGTGTTCTTCTTTAACCTTTTGAGTGTTAAGAGTTTGGCCTTTAGATCCTGAAGTTTTCCATAATACCTATCAATAAGTGATATTTTTTATAACTTCAAAATGATACTCTCACATTATATCTTGATTCCTTTGCTTCCAATACACATTCAAACCAAAACGGGATTCTCAGAAGCTGACAGAAATTTCTGGGTGTAACAAATTGAAAGCCACTATACTATACAGAATTTTACATCCATAACCCTTGAAGGGTTAATACTGTCACTATAAGAGGCCAAGAAATGGTTAAAGAATTACAACAACGTGCTTCGAGCATGGTGCACACAATGATTTTAACTTTTACTCCATCAGCAATTTAGCAATCATATTGCATGCTTACAACCTTTATGTTCTGAAGTTATAAATTTTAGACTACACTTTTAAAACAAAAATTGCAAAATTCATTCTTGCATTAAAAAGAATTACAGCATTGTTTTTAATTTTTTTAGGAGTTATTTTGCTTTATCTGTAAAAACAGAAAAATACTTTTATTAATTGAAACTGCAATAAAAATTTCAAGTTTTCTCTTCAACTGGTACGTTTATTTAGCTCTTTAAAATACCACTTACAATAATGTGAAAGTGTCAAAAGATAACATTAACTATGTAAATTAAAATTCCACTAAGGAAATGAAACAAACTTTCACAAAGCTACGTAATTTTAAAATGTAAATTATGCAGCTTTGCTTGGAAAACATTGAGCTAAATAAAATAGATATAATGAACTTACATCATGAGTATACCCTAAGAAAACTTTCTCTTGGACAGGTCTTATATATTCTCGAAGAAAATAAAGCCACTGCTGTTCAAGGCCAACTTGATTCATGTGAATATCTCTTGTTGGTACATTTTCATAACCTCCAGCTAGACGAGGATCCTATAAAGAAATAATTAAATATACATTTTTTAAATGATATAAATTCGGGAGTAAAATTAAAAAGGTTGAACAAAAACGAAACAAAAAAAGTCTTTATACATTGTTTGATCCATCAGACCACTGACCAAAATTTTCCATTTCTTCTATTAAATGCTTGCAGAATATTGGAGTAACGACTGGGAACCAATAAACATCAGGGCAAGGCTACCAAATACAAGAAAAAATAATAAATAATGCAATATTTCATAGCAAAGTAATTACATAGAAACCGTTCATGTGATTACTGTTAATAAATAATCACCTCTGACCAGTTTTTCTTAAAACATAAACACTGTTAACTGAATATCACCCTCTTAAGAGATCAATTTAACAGAAAACCAAAACCTTCTGAAAGTATAGATAACCATCTTAAGGTTTCATTACAGTCATCTAAAATTCAAAATATAAATCTGTTTCCACATTTTCCAGTGCTGTACCAGGTACAGTAACATTATTAAGTAGTAATGTTAAATAATATAAATGTTTTTCAAACTATTATATTTCATGCATATTTAAATGAATTAGAAATACATCAAACTATTCATTTCTAAGTGATCACGCTTCTTTTTTTTTTTTTTCTTTCTTTTTTTTTTTTTTTTTTTTTTCTTTTTTTGGTGGGGCAAGGGTCTGAAATAAAAATATACAACTGAAAGTCCGAAATACAATTTAAAAAAATACTTACCTTTTCACAAAGGCCATATGAAAAGGTTTCATATGCAGCATCTTATCTGTATTAGCTCTGATAAAAATAAAAATGTAAATTTCTGGGATAATTCGCTGCGTGTTTAGTAAGCAGCCTGATAACGTTTGCATGTAATTGCTTAAATTACTTTTCAATATGTTCTGTAATGAAGAAATTGCTGAAAAAAATCCCACAGAATTCTTGATGATGTCACGTTTCTCTGGTTGCAGAAAAAGTTTTACGAAAAGTTCTCTCATAGTTGATGCAAAAGAAGTATTTATTTCTATATTACCAATATCAAATCAAATCATAGAAACCATCCAGTTACCGTTGTCATACTTTATTCATTCAAACTTGGGAAATCCTGCAGTAACTGCAGTAAAAAACATCAATAAAACATTCGGTGAAGGAACAACTACTGGCAGTTCCCCATGCCACTGGTTTACAAAATTTCACTCAAGGAGATCTAAGAATACAACAATGAACATGTGGCCATCATCCTTCTTCCATTTATTTAAATAAATTACAGGATTTAATCAAACTAGCATGATAAACTGCATAAGAGATCCCTCAGACACTAAATGTACAATTTTCAACTGTTATACTGTTTAATGGCACTTGGCAATAACTGGAAATGTAAGGAAACTAAACAATTAGTTATTTCACAAACACACACACACACACACACACACACACAAAAAAAAAAAAAAAAAAAAAAAAAAAAAGGAAGATGTTTTAAATTATGCTCTTCTCTCTTAAAAAGTAAAGAAAGATTCTTACAATGAACTACGACTGTGAATAAGAAGAAAATTTGGACATGAATTGGCTTGAGTTTCATCCATCTTAATGAAGTATGCTTAGACTTTTAAGACAGGAAAATGAGTAAATTTGAGTCCTGTATGGAAAAACTTGTTCCTTTTATACTGCTCACATGTGATGTAATTGATGCTCATGATATGTATTGCTAATTACTTATATCTCTTACCATTCTATATATGTAATTTCAGTTCTGACAAATCTTTTCTTAATGGTGTTTTAATAAAAACGGTCACTAGTGTAATTTCTTAGGTACAATCAGATACACCCACACTACTTCCATAAACTAACAGTAAAGCAATGAAATTAGAATAAGTTTAAAAAAATATTATTTAAAACAGGAATGAATTTTGATAACTTTTACAGTTCCTATAAAGCAATATTTACCATTGGGTGGGGATATTCATTAAGCTTTATTGAAAGAAATTCATGAAGTTCCATCATTACATGCAAAATTTGCATAGATACTCAAATCTGCCAACTTTAATCACTTTCCAGAACCTTATCTGTCTGCTTTCTTTTTGCGAAAGGGATTAAACTAAAAAAACAAGAATCATATAAAAATCTGATTTTACACTTATTAAATAAATTCTCCTACTACAAGCACAGAGACTATTCCCATAAATCCTATGTTCTATTTAAAAAAAAAAAAAAAAAATACTATGTGAAGATTTTCAAACATGTTGACCATTTATTTACCATGCAAATTAATATATGCAGAATAAAATATGTTAAGCCAAAAACAACTATACACCATGGTCAACTCATAATCAAGCAGTGTTCTATGATACTTATAATATTATGATCATCGCCTGGTTAAAAATAATTTCTGTTTTAGTAAGGTTTTCCAGAGTCATTCTTCGAGGTAAGTTTTAGCTGCAATGCATAATAATCAAATGATAAATTTCTCAGTAAAATTTTGTCTCATTGACTAGAACAATAAAAGCTTCTTAGAATGTTCTATAATGATTACAATGTTATAATTATTACCTGGTTAAAAATAACTATTGTTTTAGCAAGGTTTTTTGAAGTCAAACTTACTCTTCAAAGTATGTTTTATCTGTGATACCTAAATGGCCAATTAATAAAGTTCTTAGCAGAAATTTATTATCTACAAGAACAATAAAATCTTCAGTTAAGATCATGACTGCAAACCATTATAGATTTTATTTACGGCATGCTACAAACATAACTAATAACGATACCTCAAACACTAAATATAAATATTAATTTTTCATATGGAATGTATAATGTGTATGCTATTTCAGTGGTAGCTATATAAATAAGTAAAATTAAGAAAACATTTCCTCTCATAATTCTTAAACTTATACTCTCAAGGACTGTCAAGAAAAATCATAAGATATGTATGCCTAAAGAAGATTGAATATTAGATCAACCAAAACAAAAGATAGCAAATTATTAATATCATAAATATTTACTTAAATATCAAAATATACAGAGAAAGAAATAACAATCTATAATAAATAACATGGCATATATCTGCATACCATATCTACTTCATAACTGGGATCCAGTACTTTTGAATAGTTTTCGTGGATATATCGATGTTCCCAATCCTAATTTTTTAAAAAAATATATAATAAAATAAGTGAATAAATAAATAATCTGAATAAATATTAAAATATCTATGAAGTGAGAAAAATTACCTTACTTTCAACATGCTACACTTACCACTTGATTGGTGTATATTTCATAGAGTTCATTGTGGACATGGCTAGTATCAAACGATTCACTATTAATAAGATGCCCAAAATCATGAAGGTTAGAAACATACATGAAAGTACCCTGAAAATTAAATAAATTAAAAAAAAAAAACATTTACTTTCATTTCAAGAACAATTTTTAAAAATTCATAATAGCAACAGTGTAAAATTAACCTTTCAAATACCAGCAAAAAAATAGACACATTTCTAAACAATTTCTGATATATGAAAAGAATATTGTAGAAAATATTGTACAAAAATATTGCATCGTCGCTTTAATAAAAGTGAGAGAAGCAGAAAGAAAATTTAACTACTCTAAAAATGATGTACCTATATTTTAAAATTCAAGTGCATCAAAAGCAAACAGAATAACTGTTAACATGATATAAATTAAAATTAATGAATTGGATTAATAGATGCTATTCATATTTTATAAAAATATTTTCATTGTAAAATAAGCTCTGATACTCCTTTTAGATCTGTCCCTATACCTGACCACTCAGTGACTACAAGAATTAAATGCAATATTCTAATGCTTTTACAAACCATTATTTCTAAAAACTGTCCAATTAGGTTTTACAAGTTTACAAAGTATATCTGAAAAGATATCAAAGTTCATTCTCTTTCTAATAAATTAAATTATTTGTTTTATAACTCATTGCACCAAACAAAAAATAATGTGCAACATACTGATACAATTTCTCAAAAGTATACAGAGAAATATAGAGCACAAAAAGTTGTACAGAGACTCTCAACTTAAAATGCTTCAACAAATATCATTTTATGAAATACAGTAAAAAGTCGTTAATTCGGACACCCATAATCCAGATCTCAAAGCTAAAAACTTTCTGCGCATGCGCCGCATTGGCACATGCGCACAGGCGTTTTACGCGTGCGCGTAAGACCTTGACTACTGCGCATATGCGTGTGCGCAAGTGCCGAATACATTTTCGCTTGCGCGTTTAATGTATAACGGACGGTGTAAGCTAAAATTATCTAATTATCTATTTCAGTTAATGTTAATGATTGCGTTGTTCCTTAATCTTCGAATTGGATCCTGCTTATTATTTTTTGCAGACTGTAAGAGCAATTTTAAAAGTAAAGTAACTTGAACTTTCGATTATGTCAAATAGAATTTCCGATGCTTTCCGATGCTGGAACTTCCAAAGGATCTACAAAACGAAAGTATATTTCGATGTCCAACAAACAAAAAGTGGAATTGCTGCAAAAAATGGATAAAGACATATGAAGAATATGACATGACAGAGAGGTTAGTGAAAACGGAAAAATTTCGATTGACAAGTTAGTCGGTATTCTCGGCACAGCAATTAACGGGACTTGAACAGTGGAACTTTGTAATAACTGAACAAGAAATTATGTCTGTTTATAGAATTAAAGAGAAAGTATTATCACATAAAATGAAGCAACTTAAACAACTTACATTGAAAGAAATGTTTAATTTAATAAGTAAACAAATAAATATTAAGCTTTTTTTTTTTTTTTTGTAAATTTTGATACCTTTTAGATCATAATTGTTCTTTATTTCATAAATTACGGTTTCATATTTTTAATTTTAGAATTTCTGCATGCCATCTTACAAGATTTAAACTGATGATCTATAATCTGGAAAAATCGATAATTCGGAATCGCCGAAGTCCCGACGAGTCCGGATTAACGACTTTTGACTGTATAGAGCTCATGCTGCACTGAAGCATACCAGAGCCCTGAATACGAAGGTTCTGAGACTTCTTTACTTCTTTTAAGTAACTGAACCATAATTTCAGGTGAAAATTCTTTTGTTCTCAAAACTCTTATTTTAATAATGAACAAGCCTTAAAAATTTATTTTAACTTCTGAATGAAATACTTTAACAGAGGCTGAGACTTTTAACCCTTTGACCTATAACTACGAGTGACTCGTGGTAAAGAATTTGTGTCATAAACAAAAGCCATGAGTCTGGCTTGTGGTGAGGAATTTTTGCATAAAATGCCGCATATTATTATTAGAACAAGTGATTGGAGTTATTCTACATCGAATATTTTTCCTTTGATTGTAACGTCAGTATTTTGTTTTTTTTTTTTCAGTTGTTTCTGATGAAACTGGATGATCTGTTATTTTAGTTCCCCGTAAAGCTTTGTTATGTTCACAGATTTCAAATATAATTTCGTATAAAGAATTAAAAGAACTCTTATACCCATCGTGCCAACCTCATCATGTAATTATTTTTGCCAACTGATCAATTTGGTTATGATTACACCCTAGACGTCTTAAAATTACTATTTGTACCTAAATATTGCTTATTATTTCGCAATTCCTTTTGTTACACTGAAATATATATGTCATGAAAAGTATATATTTTGAGTCACTTCGGGTACACGGCTGAATGACATGGCACGTGACCGACTTTCTTGTTTACTATAGCTCACACATTTGGCAGATATCGTGTTGGCCAAGGGGTTAAAAGAAAAACTACCATCCACATGTCAAACTTTATTCTCCAGCAAGTGCAATGAATTTATGGTAGTGGGTAAATTTTTCCTTTTTTTGAAAGTACATATCTAATGCTAGCGACTTTTATGCCGTGCATAATGCTAGTGACTTTCCACAGAAAACAAAACTCTCATACTTTTTGGAACAATGTAACCAAATACAGAGAATGAAAATAATCACTTAAACCAAATTTTGCATTTGTTCTCAGCTTATAAATCAATCTTCAGATTTGGAGGAAATTTTCCCTGACCCATTCATTCCACCTGACAGTCTGAATTGCATCTGCAGGGGATCAATGTTAGAAAATGTTCAACTCTTCTGCTTCTGTTTTCATACCTATATATCTCAATTAAAATTACCTTCTAGACTATCACACTCTTTCCAGTATTTTCTTTATTCTCATTAGTGATGCTTTAACTATTAAATCTCTTTGCACAGGTCTGCTCGAAAAATAATAGTCTTTATTCCTATGATTTTCCTTTGAAATGGTACATTATACTGCATAAAATTTAGCCAAAGCCTAGTTGAGTTTTTTTCTTAGGTTTTGAGACAAACTGTAATTCTGACAAGGATATGTATTTTATTTCATCACTTAACTATTTATCATTGATTTAATAATTTATTAAATTTTTATTCATCTCTTTGCATTTTAACAAATTTTAATTTTTACTATTTAATTAATCTAATTGTTAATTATTTTATGTATTTTTGCTTCTCTTTTCTAAGGGCCTTCCTTAGGGTTCTATTTATTTTAGGAAGTAAGCACTATTTAAATCTATTAAAGATCTTCCATCAAACTGGAGCAAAACTAGAACTATCAACAAGTCCATGCTTAACAATATCTTTAAAATCAGAAAAGCGATTAAAATTATCACTAAACTATGTTGCATTACAGAATTTTCAGTTTCTTATTACATCTTAATGGCTATTTTTGAAAGTAGATAAACTAAACTCCAAGGTAGTTTAACTAACAGTGAAGGAAAGAGAACAAGTAAAGATGACACATTATTCAGATTTTAGATCATAAAATGGATAAGTAATCTGTAGGAGTTTCCAGTTTTACAGAACTCTTAACTTACTTAAAGCATATGAAACAGTTTAATTATTTATTTATTCTGATATATGAAGTATAAATGACTATCTCGAAATTAATGATTCTTTTTTATAAATAAATTAATTTATAAATTAGAGAAAAAAAAAAAAAAAAAAAAGAAAGATACAAAAAATTTATTGCAAAGATAAAATTACCTTATCTCGCAAATTTTTGCAGAAAGCCATATCAGGATCAAGCAGTCCATGAATAAATGAAGGATAATTTTCAATATCTTTCAGAAGAGATCCACGAACCAAATATGCATGATTGATATATGGAACATTCCACACACCCCTGATAAAATAAAAAGTGACTGTTACACACAGCAGATCTGACAATACATATAATCATATAATAATTAGTAGTTAAACATTTACAAACATAGGGCAACAAGGATATAAGTTTCCTTAAATACATCCTCCCTTAGGGAAGAAAAAACTTAGCAGATCATGAGAGTTCCAAGATTGCTGTTTTGGAGTTATCAAATATGAACCAGTAGGCATGAAATTCGGATTAAAGACTGAATGTACTAAAATTTTATGCTTGGCCAAATCTCCAAGTATTTAAAAAAAACTTAATAAACAATAATAACCCTCTACAAATATTTATTGAAGCATGAAATACTCCAATAAAACAACATAGTAAGTAAGTTGCTGTGTTGACCTGCTTCTAAATTCTGCATTATACAACAGATGAATCATGCATGATCCATGGATGTGTTTCATTGGGACTCTCGGATACTCACAGAGCTGAAGGGATTAAATATTGGTGGTAAAATCAGTGGCATAAATCTTTATCCATCTTTCTTGTAATGAAAGGCTGCTGGCATGTTGTTGCCACTTATTGGAATATTGCCTCACTATCACAGAACTCAACAATCATGACATCCCAATACAATTTTTGTAAGGATATGTGTCCATACAAGAAAGAACTGTACTGTGACATTATCAGGATTTTAAAGAACAACAGAAAGACACAGAAGGAAAAAAAAAAAAAAAAAAAGACATTTCAAACTCAGATCACTCTAGTTTTCTTTGATATTTGTTATTTAAAATCCATCATTGTTAGCAAAGGTACAAATTTATTTTAGTTACATTTTGCTTATTAAACTCATGATAGCTTTAAAAAATTAATTTAAAAATATTTTTAAAAACTTTTTAGTATATTTCATTGAAACTGTATTAACCCTAAATAGTTCTTTTATAATTTTTGATCAATGAAACAGAAGAGGAATAATAAAGAACAAAAATCCTTGCCTCTGAATACAATAAAATTATTCCTTCTAATTAGCATAGCAATGCTGTATCTTTCTTTCAAAGTCAGATCTCTTCAGTCTTGCAAGATTCAATACAAATTTCTGTTTAAAATGAATCTTTCCAATAGTGCAAGCACACACACACACAAATGGATTTCTAATTAATCTCTTAACATAATCAACTAAGCACACCAAAATTCCATCAACTACATTAAGGTACGTAGGTAAGTTGAAAAATAAGTTTCCCTTGTCGACTGTGGTCAGAGTTGTGTATGAAAGTCAAAAAATAGAATGAGACATTAAAGATATGACATAACTTTATTTTTCCACATAGGTACCAAGTACATTGAGACATTTGTCATATCACTATATAAGCTTCAAAAAGCCCTCCAGGAAAAAATCAGGGCTTTGCATATGGAAGAAGCGTTGAACGGCTTGTTTCTGGCGTGAAATGGTGGACCCACGTTTCATCCCCCGTCACAATCCGAAACAGAAAGTCATTGCCATCTTCATGGTAATGCACGAGATGTTCCAGGCTGACCTCCATGCGTTGTTCCTTGTGTGTCGAAGGAGGTGGTCAAAGGAGGAAGTGAGAGCGGTTATCCGCTATGAATGGGCACGTGGAGTATCAGGAACAGAAATTCATAACCGCCTCGTGGAAATCTATGGGCCAGGTGTGATGTCGAAGCAAATAGTGCGGAGATGGTGTCGCACATTCAGTGATGGACGTCAGCAAGTGGAGGACATACCGAGAGCTGGACGGACGCGCATGGCCACTACAGATGCAAATGTCAGGAATGTGGATGACGTGATTAGAGCGAACCAGCGTATCACCATCAATGAAGTAGCGGAAGAACTTGGAATCTCACATGAGCGAGCTCAAAACATTATCCACGACATTCTTCGATACAGAAAAGTGTTAGCACGATGGGTGCCCCGACAATTGACCTCAACGCACAAGAAACACGCGTGGGGGTCAGCCTGGAACATCTCGTGCGTTACCATGAAGATGGCAATGACTTTCTGTTTCGGATTGTGACGGGGGATGAAACGTGGGTCCACCATTTCACGCCAGAAACAAGCCGTTCAACGCTTCTTCCATATGCAAAGCCCTGATTTTTTCCTGGAGGGCTTTTTGAAGCTTATCAAGCGATATGACAAATGTCTCAATGTACTTGGTACCTATGTAAAAAAATAAAGGTATGTCATATCTTTAATGTCTCATTCTATTTTTTGACTTTCATACACAACTCTGACCACAGTCGACAGGGAAACTTATTTTTCAACTTACCCTCGTATTATGAAAGCGTTTCATTTAGAAAATGATTTTCTCATCTATCCAACAGTGTAAATATCAAAATTCCATGAGGATTAATCATTAAATTACTAAGAAAACATAAGCATTAAAGAAACTGAACAATTAAAAAATCTTAGTTTGGGAAAAAAAAAATCACTGCAATGGTGACCGCAAAAATGTTATATGAAAAAACAGTAGTTTATACTGTTACGAAATGTAAAGACGTGGTAAGATAGCTTCCCCGCAAAGCAGTTTTTAGGGTTGCCATAAAAGGGCAAGGAAAACAGGGTTGCCACATTTGGCAAGAAATTGCCCATTTGGTTACAAAATTGGCAATATGCCCTGGAGAGATGGAGAACCTTCTGGAACGAATTCTTACCGGTTTAGCCCAGAACATTCTTGAACACAAGCCGAAAGCTATATAAACCCTGCTATTCCGCAGTCAGTTAGTGTGTCAGAGAGTCTGCCTCGTCTAGCGAGCCGTGCGGAGTCGATCGAGTTGACAGCCAGGCAACAAATGCCGAGTGTGTCGTCGAGTGCACCTAAGGAGTTTCTTAGTGTATCACAGTTAGTGCATCATCAAGAGAGCATTTACGCATGCACAGAAAGTTTGTAGCTTTGAGTTCAGGATTATAGACGCCCGGATTAAAGACTATGCACTGTATTTTAACAAATGGTTAGCAGTGTTAAAAATAAATTATTTCAATTCTTTAAAAATAATTTCTTACTGCAGCTCAGTTGAAAAACACTGATCCTGAATTCTATGTGGAAATATGTTATGGATTCATGGCCTAAATATGTAAACGCAAATGACTTAGTTGGAAAGTTAAATTAATGCAAAAATTTTCGGTCAGGAATAAAAACAAGCACGAAATTAAAAGCAGTTCTAAGTTATGACCTTGGATAGATTTTAAAAATGTTCCACAAGTAATGAATTCTCGCAATTTGAGTAGATTTGATTCTAATAAATTCAAAAGTAGAGACATGATGAGAAATCATAAATATTACAAAAGAGAGGGTTAGCTTACGCATAAGTATAATGATAATATCAAAAACTATCTAATTCTTACATTCATAATGATTAGGATGCACCCAGATGTTCTTTTATGTAATCTTTTTGGTCATATTTTAAAAGATTGTCCATATTCCTGTAAATGTGAAATGAAGGGCCATACAAAGAAATACTGCACTGAGAATAAAAAAGAACCTACATTAAACGTCTGTGACCTTGATGATTCTTCAGTAGCAAATGATATGCACTTGACAAATGCTTCAATTAACATTCTCGTATTATGCCTTCATTGATTGGCACTTAACATATGCTTCAATTAACATTCTCGTATTATGTCTTCACTGACTGACATGACACCAGTGGCATGTGTTCTTAAGAATCGATAGGGAAAAGTCTGGGAATAAATACTTGGTCTTGCAGAAAGGAGTTCTTTATTTAGTTTTGGAAATCAAAACTGTGACAGAAAATCTTGGAGCAACAGTTACACACATAAAAAATGATGATAGAATGGGAAAAGCTATTCCAATGTTAACTCTTCCAGATTCAGCTCAATGAGTTATTTATTGGTTGGATAAATGTTCTTAAATTTACCCTATATTGCCTATATTAGAGGCCACCATACTTTGTCTATCAGCTAAGCAAATGTTTATCCATTTATGAGGTTAGATTGCAATAACGAAAATCCATGTATTAAATTAGAAGCCTATGAAATAGTGAAAATAATATATAATATTTTTTCTCCATCCATTTTATGTACTGATGTTGGAGAAAATATTTTAACTGAAGCTATTAACTCTATTAACTCTCAAAGCAAAGGCATGAAACGGAAACTTTTAAATGAAGATCTCAATAAATCTGGGGAAAAAAAAAAAACTCAGAACAGAAGTACTTCAGAACGAAAATGCCTCTTTAACTGTTAAAATTCAAAAATTGAAGCAAAATAAAGTAGCAATTAATTATTTGCAAGAGAGAGAAACCTGTAAGTAATACACCTATAAAAAAAATCATATGAGCTCTAAAACGCTGGACTACCTATATCTAATTAGACAGCTGAGATGGAGAAAAAATTCTTTAGACTAACTCATTATAAGGAAAACTTGGAAATAAGCAATCTTGTTATATGGCACAATACCTTAGAACAAAAACTGCCGCACTTCCACACACACCCTGCTCATCAAGACATATTTTCCTCGCATAAAAATACTCCAACACAGGAAAATATCGAAATCTTTACAGATGGATCTAAGATTGGTAAAAATGTAGGTGCGGCTTTCGTTATATGCAACAATGGGCAAGAAGTTCATTCAGAAATTTATACATTAAATGATATGGCTTATGTGTTCCAAGCAGAGATTCTTGCTTTAAAAAAAAGCACTCATCTGGATAAGTTCCACAATAACTGACAACATTCCTATTCGTATTTTTACAGATAGCCATAGTTCCCTTTAAAATTTAAATAGTGATAAAATTATGAAAAGAAACATTCTGAGCCTAAAAGAAATCATAAAAACACTTTTAGATTCCCATTCTCTAGAGCTTAATTGGATTAAAGCTCACATTGGAATTGCAGGGAACGAAAAAGCAGATTCCGAAGCAAAAGGAGCAACACAACAAGATCAGACAGATGTTGAAGTGCCACTTTCAGAGATTTCGGCCAAACGTCAAATTCTGCAAGAATCACTTAGAACATGGCAGCAAGATGGGATGAGGACTCTACACAACGTTCCACTTATGTCTTTTTCCTACAAGTTTCTCTCTCTCGTATACAAACAGATCACATTTTAAATCAAGTCTTGACAAATCATGGTAAATTTCCACAATATATTCAAAGATTTCATAAAAAGAACACAAGATGTGGCTGTGGAACAAGTGGAGAGTTTGCAGGAGCTCTCCATTACATCACGTCTTGAAAGAAAGAACATCTGTTTTTCTATCACCATTGCCTTCACTGGGAACATTGGCGAAATGTAATTTTACTCTTAATGCCATGAAGTCAATTATACATGTAAACAACTCAGACTTTTATTGTTAATCCTACAATGTTTATGTTATTCTGATTGTTATTTTTCCTTCCATTCACTTCAATGTAATGTTCAATTATTTAGTCACTATAGTGTTGTAAATATACAATTTGCTACATCTGTTGCACCCGTACAGCAACGTGTGGAGGGGCTCCATCTTGCATGAAAAGGATTTCCCCCAGGCATTAGCTTTGCTGAAGTGCCGGAATGACAAAGCTGTTCATGTGGCAATATTTCTCTCTGGTAACAGAACAGATTTCCGGTCCTGTCGGGGTAATGTTCTCATAGAAGAATGGACCTACGATAAATTCCGCTGTCAACCCACACCAAACAGTTACCTTTTGTGAATGTAAGTGAATTGCTGTGATAAGCAATTGACTTTTGCTCTCACCTTTCTTGCCAGAATGGAGGTGGATGATGCTTGGCCGTGAAAAATCTTATGGGAAGACAAGGCCCACTTTTACCTGAATGGAACTGTAAATACCCAGAACTGCCGAATTTGGGATGACAAACCACCACATGCAGTCACAGCAATTCACTTACATTCACAAAAGGTAACTGTTTGGTGTGGGTTGACAGCGGAATTTATCGTAGGTCCATTCTTCTATGAGAACATTACCCCGACAGGACCGGAAATCTGTTCTGTTACCAGAGAGAAATATTGCCACATGAACAGCTTTGTCATTCCGGCACTTCAGCAAAGCTAATGCCTGGGGGAAATCCTTTTCATGCAAGATGGAGCCCCTCCACACGTTGCTGTACGGGTGCAACAGATGTAGCAAATTGTATATTTACAACACTTACACCTGTAGCAAATTGTATATCTGTTTATATGTTTATTTGAATTTTTCTATTATTTTGTTATTATTTATGTGGGAATCATCAACGCCCAATGCTGAATTAGAATACCAGCTGACATCATCAGTATAGCTCAGTGTGAATCACTCCAGACAGAGTCAGATAGCCTCCAGACGTGGTCAAGAGCGGAGGGTAGATGCGAGCAGACGGCTCGTATGCCTTCAAGAGTTGAAGAAGACAGACGGTCTTCTTTTAATTTTCACCTTTAGCTGATTATATTATTTAAAGCTACGCACGAATGTTTGTGTAAAAGGACTGTCTGTGATTCCGCATCATTACATGAATAATTCAACCTTTAATCTTTACTTAATTTATCTTTATTATTATTTCTTATTGTTACATAAAAGCATATGTACAATGCCACAATGCTGCTCTCCTACTCTGATTTAAAAGAGAACTCCACATTTATTAATATTATTATTTATTTTGTTATTATTTATTTGTTATGATTATTATTTAGTTTGAATATATATTTATATGTTTTTTTAAATTTTACTCTGTTTTAATTAATTGTTCATTTACGTGAAAAGATTTTTTTTCTCCTCTAAATTACACTAGCTTTGTAACCTCACTGACCATCCCTTCACTTTCTGTTTTAGCTGTCATGACTCTCCCCCTTTTTGGTTTTAAGTTTACAAAGCTTTCTCTTTCCCTTTCGCCTTCGCTCTCAGCCCTTTTTAGTCGATAGGCTTTGCTTCATTTCGCCTGTTCCCCTTCTTTTTTAGCCATGATGACTCTCCTCTCCTCTCTTAGACCGGTTTTCAGCTTTTGCTTCTTCTTCCCTTTTTAGCTGAAAGGAAAGGCACCCCCTCCTCTTTTAGCCGTTTGGCTTTTTTTAGGACCTTTTGCTCAGCTAACACGATCTGCCTTGTTTTAGGCTATTGGCTTTTGCCCACTTTGATAGTTAGCTCCTGCCTAATCCGGAGTGAGATAACGGAGTGTCTAGAATCGTGGATTCAAACCCACTTACTGGCAGCAATCGTTATAAAACACCGCAGTTGCTTTCAGTAGCAGGAGCGGTTATAAGAGTTTGTTGTTGTTATATCTAATTAGACCAAGAAATTAAGATTTATTGATAATGGTCAGGTTTTATAAGCTCTCAAAGGTTATGTTGATGAATTTAGATGCATCTATTCACACAGTACTGCCTTGAAAATGGAATAAACCACACGTTAAACTCTAGCCAATATTCCATGGCTAACATGAAGATAGAAAGGGCTAACAGAACAATCAGATCCATAATTACAACATGCATGAGTGATTCAACTCATAAAGATCACGATTTACAAATAAAATGAACTAAGAGAAATTCGAATAACACTGTCAACTTCAACAAAAACTATGGATACAACAACTTTAGAAATTCTACATGGCTATTCTCCAAAATTTAATGATGGAATTCTATGAAAGGTTGCTGAAGAAAGTGCAGATGTATGGATTAATCCAAAAGAAGAAATTCGCAATGTCATCTAAAGGAAATAACTCAAGATGAAGGAGTACTATAACAAAACAAAATACTGAACTATGACTTTTGAACCAGATGTAATAGTGGTTGTTCCATGATTACTGAAACTAGCAGGAGAACCATCAAAACCAGCCAAATACAGACCATTAATTGTGACAAAAATCCTCCCCAATGATATGCACAGAGTGACCCAACTGAAGGAAAAAGAATATGGCAGGTTATATACAATAGCCCATGTAAGTCAGCTGAAACCTTGGCATGCTAATAACCTAGATGAATCAGATGAATCAGATCAGGTAACTCAAATTTAATTCATGAAGCAACAGATAATGTGGACTTTTATTTATTTATTTATTTTTCTGAACCTAATATACCATGTGGCCATAATTAAACTGACAGTGCTCACGGTGTTCTGTAGCGCAATCTATTTGCGAGAATGATGCCACATTTTGTAGGAAGATTAAACAAGACAGGGGACGAAGGATTCCGCGAAAAAACAAATTAGTTCCAAAAGTCACCGCTACGGGAATATTTGGTGCTGTGTAATAGAAAATAGAGTGTTAACAAATGCAAATTAATACAGAATAAAATTACCTTTTATCATGCACATTTTCTGATTTAGTTCAAGTGCAATATGGCAACACTTTTAAAAAAGCATAAAATCTACATAAACACCGATGAGTCTCGTGATCTGCAAAATCACGTACGCTGAGCAGAAGAAGTTCTTTATTCAAATTTCACGCTACATCCATTTGCACAGTGCCAGCTGCTTGGGTTTTAAAAGGCAATGTCTTACGTTTTGAATCAATCGGATTGAAAGTTTATGTGCAATGTCTCCTTCTTTAGTCGAGCATGCATTACTGGTCAAATTCTTTTACCTCAACCAGTGCAACGCATCAGCCACTCTTCGTGCTTTTAGAACGAAAAAAAAAAAAAAAAAAAAGTGTAAAGGTAATGGTCCTGTGTTAGTTAATGGGCTAAAAAGCAATGGTTGCGACGTTTGAGAAAAAAGGTTCTCTGAAGGTTCAGTCAGGCAGAGGACGAAAACCTGTACCACAGGATACAATCGAAGCAGTTGCCACGGCGATTGTCGACAGAGGACCAGACAATATTGCTGCCACCTCTAGCGCTCGTGGAAGTAGCTCGGAATATGGAACATGCCTTACAGTACGGTATGGAAAATCTTACGAAAGATTATCAACTTCTATCCGTACAAGATCAGCCTGTGTACAGGAGTTACTGTACCCCGACCATGATAAGCGATTGACTTTTGCTCTCACCTTTCTTGCCAGAATGGAGGTGGATGATGCTTGGCCGTGGAAAAATCTTATGGGAAGACAAGGCCCACTTTTACCTGAATGGAACTGTAAATACCCAGAACTGCCGAATTTGGGATGACAAACCACCACATGCAGTCACAGCAATTCACTTACATTCACCAAAAGGTAACTGTTTGGTGTGGGTTCACAGCGGAATTTATCGTAGGTCCATTCTTCTATGAGAACATTACCCCGACAGGACCGGAAATCTGTTCTGTTACCAGAGAGAAATATTGCCACATGTTGAACAGCTTTGTCATTCCGGCACTTCAGCAAAGCTAATGCCTGGGGGAAATCCTTTTCATGCAAGATGGAGCCCCTCCACACGTTGCTGTACGGGTGCAACAGATGTAGCAAATTGTATATTTACAACACTTACACCTGTAGCAAATTGTATATCTGTTTATATGTTTATTTGAATTTTTCTATTATTTTGTTATTATTTATGTGGGAATCATCAACGCCCAATGCTGAATTAGAATACCAGCTGACATCATCAGTATAGCTCAGTGTGAATCACTCCAGACAGAGTCAGATAGCCTCCAGACGTGGTCAAGAGCGGAGGGTAGATGCGAGCAGACGGCTCGTATGCCTTCAAGAGTTGAAGAAGACAGACGGTCTTCTTTTAATTTTCACCTTTAGCTGATTATATTATTTAAAGCTACGCACGAATGTTTGTGTAAAAGGACTGTCTGTGATTCCGCATCATTACATGAATAATTCAACCTTTAATCTTTACTTAATTTATCTTTATTATTATTTCTTATTGTTACATAAAAGCATATGTACAATGCCACAATGCTGCTCTCCTACTCTGATTTAAAAGAGAACTCCACATTTATTAATATTATTATTTATTTTGTTATTATTTATTTGTTATGATTATTATTTAGTTTGAATATATATTTATATGTTTTTTTAAATTTTACTCTGTTTTAATTAATTGTTCATTTACGTGAAAAGATTTTTTTTCTCCTCTAAATTACACTAGCTTTGTAACCTCACTGACCATCCCTTCACTTTCTGTTTTAGCTGTCATGACTCTCCCCCTTTTTGGTTTTAAGTTTACAAAGCTTTCTCTTTCCCTTTCGCCTTCGCTCTCAGCCCTTTTTAGTCGATAGGCTTTGCTTCATTTCGCCTGTTCCCCTTCTTTTTTAGCCATGATGACTCTCCTCTTCTTAGACCGGTTTTCAGCTTTTGCTTCTTCCCTTTTTAGCTGAAAGGCACCCCCTCCTCTTTTAGCCGTTTGGCTTTTTTTTAGGCCCTTTTGCTCAGCTGACACGATCTGCCTTTTTTAGGCTATTGGCTTTTGCCCACTTTGATAGTTAGCACCTGTCTTGTCCTGCCTAATCCGGAGTGAGATAACGGAGTGTCTAGAATCGTGGATTCAAACCCACTTACTGGCAGCAATCGTTATAAAACACCGCAGTTGCTTTCAGTAGCAGGAGCGGTTATAAGAGTTTGTTGTTGTTATATCTAATTAGACCAAGAAATTAAGATTTATTGATAATGGTCAGGTTTTATAAGCTCTCAAAGGTTATGTTGATGAATTTAGATGCATCTATTCACACAGTACTGCCTTGAAAATGGAATAAACCACACGTTAAACTCTAGCCAATATTCCATGGCTAACATGAAGATAGAAAGGGCTAACAGAACAATCAGATCCATAATTACAACATGCATGAGTGATTCAACTCATAAAGATCACGATTTACAAATAAAATGAACTAAGAGAAATTCGAATAACACTGTCAACAAAAACTATGGATACAACAACTTTAGAAATTCTACATGGCTATTCTCCAAAATTTAATGATGGAATTCTATGAAAGGTTGCTGAAGAAAGTGCAGATGTATGGATTAATCCAAAAGAAGAAATTCGCAATGTCATCTAAAGGAAATAACTCAAGATGAAGGAGTACTATAACAAAACAAAATACTGAACTATGACTTTTGAACCAGATGTAATAGTGGTTGTTCCATGATTACTGAAACTAGCAGGAGAACCATCAAAACCAGCCAAATACAGACCATTAATTGTGACAAAAATCCTCCCCAATGATATGCACAGAGTGACCCAACTGAAGGAAAAAGAATATGGCAGGTTATATACAATAGCCCATGTAAGTCAGCTGAAACCTTGGCATGCTAATAACCTAGATGAATCAGATGAATCAGATCAGGTAACTCAAATTTAATTCATGAAGCAACAGATAATGTGGACTTTTATTTATTTATTTATTTATTTTTCTGAACCTAATATACCATGTGGCCATAATTAAACTGACAGTGCTCACGGTGTTCTGTAGCGCAATCTATTTGCGAGAATGATGCCACATTTTGTAGGAAGATTAAACAAGACAGGGGACGAAGGATTCCGCGAAAAAAACAAATTAGTTCCAAAAGTCACCGCTAGGGGAATATTTGGTGCTGTGTAATAGAAAATAGAGTGTTAACAAATGCAAATTAATACAGAATAAAATTACCTTTTATTCATGCACATTTTCTGATTTAGTTCAAGTGCAATATGGCAACACTTTTAAAAAAAGCATAAAATCTACATAAACACCGATAAAGTCTCTCGTGATCTGCAAAATCACGTACGCTGAGCAGAAGAAGTTCTTTATTCAAATTTCACGTTACATCCATTTGCACAGTGCCAGCTGCTTGGGTTTTAAAAGGCAATGTGTTACGTTTCGAATCAATCGGATTGAAAGTTTATGTGCAATGTCTCCTTCTTTAGTCGAGCATGCGTTACTGGTCAAATTCTTTTACCTCAACCAGTGCAACGCATCAGCCACTCTTCGTGCTTTTAGAACGCAAAAAAAAAAAAAAAAAAAGTGTAAAGGTAATGGTCCTGTGTTAGTTAATGGGCTAAAAAGCAATGGTTGCGACGTTTGAGAAAAAAGGTTCTCTGAAGGCTCAGTCAGGCAGAGGACGAAAACCTGTACCACAGGATACAATCGAAGCAGTTGCCACGCGCGATTGTCGACAGAGGACCAGACAATATTGCTGCCACCTCTAGCGCTCGTGAGTAGCTCGGAATATGAACATGCCTTACAGTACGGTATGGAAAATCTTACGAAAGATTATCAACTTCTATATCCGTACAAGATCAGCCTGTGTACAGGAGTTACTGTACCCCGACCATGATAAGCGATTGACTTTTGCTCTCACCTTTCTTGCCAGAATGGAGGTGGATGATGCTTGGCCGTGGAAAATCTTATGGGGAGACGAGGCCCACTTTTACCTGAATGGAACTGTGAATACCCAGAAACTGCCGAATTTGGGATGACAAACCACCACATGCAGTCACAGCAATTCCCTTACATTCACCAAAGGTAACTGTTTGGTGTGGGTTCACAGCGGAATTTATCGTAGGTCCATTCTTCTATGAGAACATTACCCCGACAGGACCGGAAACCTGTTCTGTTACCGGAGAGAAATATCGCCACATGTTGAACAGCTTTGTCATTCCGGCACTTC